AAGAGGCAGCGTCTTACCTCCACACTCTTTTCCCTTAGCAGCAGCAGCAGCATCTCAGACAACAAGTAAACTCTTTCTTCTGCTGCTGCTTCAACTGCCGCTTCAATCAGTCAGCGCCAGCCGCTGAAAGTAGTGAGAAGTGGGCACACGTGCAAGCGTCGGTGCAAGTGTGTACAAGTGTGTGCGTTTATTTGTTTATTTGTGCTTTGGTATTGTGACAGAAAATCAACCTAAAAATCAGCCAAAAATGCCCGCCCAACAGAAACCGGCCCGGTGGACGGTGTACCTGAAGATTGCCGCCGGCGTCATCTTCATTGTCGCACTGCTCGTCCTCCTGCTATGGGGCGTCCACAAGGGAAAACCAACAACAGACAACAATGAAGCTGGTGAACCAGAACGGGAAGTTGAAGAGCCGCCGATCATCTGCAACAGCACCGAGTGCCAGGAGGCCAGCGCCTGGGTCATGGAGACGATGAATCCCAAAGCTAACCCTTGCGAAGATTTCTACGAGTTTGCGTGCGGAAACTTTCCAAAGGTGCACCCGATTTCGGAAGACAAATCCTTTGTTTCGACGTTGTCGCTGCTTCAAGACAAAGTGACTGACTCACTTTATAAACTGCTGGTCAAGGAAGGCAAGAGAAGAAAGTCAGGAATCGGAAGTGGAAAGAGGGTGGCAAAGTCCATCGACCTGGCCGCCGACCTTTTTGACGTGTGCATGGATGAAGGTAAAAGTTTGAGTGTTAAGATAGTTTAATAAAATCTTTTAAATTACTAATTACCATTGACCCGTTTAAGAAAGTCGAAATCGCCTGGATGTAGAGCCCTTTCGGGCGCAGCTGAAACAAATGCTCGGCACTGAGTGGCCAATAATTGACGTCAAAAAATTTGGCGACAACTTCCAAAAAGGCCGCGACAGTGTGGAGTTGTTTATCGACGCAATGGCCAACTTTCGGGCGGCTGGTTCAGAACCGATCATGAGCTTTGGACCGGACATTGACGCCAATAATACTCTGCACCGGCTGATTAGCGTACGACTGAAATGTTTTTTATTTTTTATACCTTTTCTCATTTTACTTTTCTTTGTTTGGCAGTTCAAAGTGCCTGAATTTGACCTGGAGGACTACCAATACGGCGACACTAGCAAATACAACGATGAAGTGAGCGCCAACTGGGTTTACATGCACGACATGGCCAAGTTCTTTTACAAAGGCAATGCAGAGGTGGCTGGCAAGAGCGAGGAAATTGACCACCGTTTTGATGAGATTTTCCGCTTTGAACGGTCGCTTGCTAATGTAATTATATATCTGTTTTTACTTTCTTTTTCATTTCATTCAAAAAACTATTATTGAATTTTTGATTTATCTTCTCTAGCTAGTCAACCTAAAATCAAACCCGCTTAATCCAAAGGACTGGTACTTTAAAACCAGCCTGCGCAACTTGAATGCCCTCACCAGTCGACAAGGCTCATCGTACTTTAACTGGACGTCGCTGCTTTTTAAAACCGCCTTTAACTTTGTCCTTCCCTACAAGATCACCGACGAGGAGCAGGTGATAGTGAAGGACTTGGAGTACTACAAGGGCATGGTCCAACTGGTGTCCACCACACCGCTGCACGTCCTCTTCAATTACATGGGAGTGCGGTTTATTAGCGAACGTGGCGACGACGGCTC